AAGTAAGTGATTCAATAGAGGAAATGCATAAATAAATATGCACTTCTGGCCATAAAAATAAGGATTGCTGGGCACAGTGACCCTTACCTGTAATCCCAGCATTTGGGAGGCTGAGACAGGAGGATTGTAATTTGAAACAGTTTGGACTACATAAGACACTGTCCCCAAACTGGGTGGTAGTGGTGCACACCTTTAATCCCAGCACTCGGGAGGCAGAAGCAGGTGGATCTCTGTAAGTTCAAGATCAGCCTGGTCTACAATAAGAGCTAGTTCCAGAACAGGCTCCAAAGCTACAGAGAAACCCTGCCTCCAAGGGAAAAAAAAAAAGAAAAGACACTGTCTCCGGGAAACCAAATGAGAAGACATAAGAAACAGGGTTGTAGAAGCTATGGGAATACTTGTCCTTTTTTGTCCTTTTTTATGTGGCATATGGAGAAGAAGCATGTACATATGTGTGATGTGAAGACCAGGAGAGTCTTCCTCAGTCCTTTTTTTTTTTTTGAAACAGGATCTCTCTCTGAACCTGGAACTTGCCAGTTCCTCTAGACTAGCTGTCCAGCAAGCCCCAGGAGTCATCCGTGTCCATCTCCCCTCCCTTCACCAGCACTGAGATTATAGGCACATGCCACCAGCTCATCTTTTCACATGAATTGTGTGGCTCTGAACACTGGTCCTTTTATTTTCACGATAAACACTTTACTGACTGAGCCACCAACCCAGGCCTGTGTGCGTGACTTTTCTTCATAGCTTTATGCTCCACATTCTCTCTGAATGTTAATTTTAGTCTCCCACTTGACACAAGGATTGTTGTTGTTATTTATCTTTGCAATGTAGTCATTTGGTTACAGGGTCCGCTGAAGAAATTTGGGCTCATCCTGGAGAGTATTAGTGCCTCAGGGGGATGGACACTGTTGCTGTTGAATCTGTATCTCTCCATTGTCAGCCAAAGTTCCTGAGCATCTCCTCATCACAAAAGACAGTGGCATCTTGTCAGGCCGAATCCTGAAATTGCTCTTGTTACAATGGTTACAGAAAGCTGCTTGGAGGCTGAGTGAGGAAATGGCAAAACTTGCCTTTGTTATTTACCTCTCTCCTATCCACACCTCTCTGATATATGGCCGAGTTACAACTCTGCTATCTAATTTCCCAGATTTCATCATTCACTTTCTCTCAGATTCTGATACAAGGAGACACAAAAGGAGACTGGGGTGGTGGTGGAGAATTAGTTTAGATAGTTAGCTACAGTTTGTTCTGTTTCCCTAGTTACTTTACCACTGGACATAGTGTCTAACCTTGAACTTTCTTCTGTGCGCTAACCTTTGGAGATGGCTCTGAGGAGGAATGAGCAGTCAGTCTCCTGTGGTTGTTTCTCCTGAGCCCGATTCTCAACCCTGCAGGGCTCCATCAGTTGGGTTCCCAGGGCTCCTCTGTGTTGCTGAATATTTGATCACACTGTGAAACTCTGAGACTGTGTTAATAAAATTAACCTTGGATCTGGGTGTGGAGCCAGCAACTAGTTGACCAGATTAGCCGTAGAGAGTATGGAGGTCCTGGATAGAGAGACACATAGGAAGGACTAGGGAGGTGTGCCAGGCCTTTTCTTTTAGGTTACCTACCAGCTTGGCCTTATCTTAATGAGTGTCCTCTAGCTCTGATAACTTAACGTGTTTCTCTTCACCTATGTTTTGCCTCAGGCTTTTTACCTTTCTTTCTTTCTTTCTTCCTTTCTTTTTGGTTTTTCAAGACAGGGTTTCTCTGTGGCTGTCCTGGAACGAGCTCTTGTAGACCACGCTGGTCTTGAACTCAAAGATCTGCCTGCCTCTCTGTCACCACCACCCTGCTGTTTCTCTGCTTTTCTGGCTGCTTGGCTTCTGGTCCGGGGTGTGACTGTCTCTCTCTCTCTCTCTCTCTCTCATTCAATACTCCTTCTTCTCTCCTTTGCCTAGATTTCTTCTACTTATTCTCTCTGCCTACCAGCCCTGCCTATCCCTCTCTGCCTAGATATTGGCCATTCAGCTTTTTATTAGACCACTCAGATGCCTTTGGCAGGCCAGGTGAAACAAATGCAGGCAGCAGAAACAAATGCAACACACCTTTACAACATTAACAAAGGCAGAATAAACAAACATCTTTGCCTAGTTAAAATAATGTTCTCCAACAGGGAGGGACTTAGGGATTCAAGGGTCTTTTTGGTTGGGGACAGAAGGAGGGATGTTCTCTTGCTTGGCCTCAGGCCAAAAAGCTAGTTGTTTCTAGGCTTCTCTGACCTAGAAGGCCTTCACCTCAAAATCTGACTCCCCAGTCTTTATTGGTAAAAGAACAATTTAGGTAAAAACAACACCTCTGGTCATTCTCAGTCCTGGCTGCCACCTGTCATCATTACTTTGTGTTGTCTCCAAGTTTTCTTCCATCTTCCAACCCCTGAATAATCAGTTTCCTGGACATACATCCCCTCTATCTGTAAACTCAATATACTCTCTGACCAGGCTCCCCCCCCTTTTTTTTTTTTTTTTTTTTTTTTTTTTTTTTTTTTTTTTTTTTTTTGCTTTTGTTTTTTCAAGACAGGGTTTCTCTGTGTAGCCCTGGCTGTCCTGAAACTCACTCTGTAGACCAGGCTAGCCTTGAACTCAGAGAGATCCACCTGACCAGGCCCCATCTTGTACATAAGATTTTCATGGTAGAATGGATACATGTGTCACAGAAAATCTCACACACTGAAATAACATGAGAAAAAAGAATCTCCCAAACTAATGTTGAAAGAAGTCATCACTGGCTGGGTGTGGTCACGTGCCTTTAACCCCAGCACTCAGGAGGCAGAGGCAGGCACAAAGTGAGTTCCTTGTCTTACAAAAAGGAGGAGGAAGATGAGGAGGAGAGAGATGAGGAGGAGGGTAAGGAAGTAGTCACATCTTCATTCATACCTTCGGTTCTATAAAGTTTCAATACTAGAAATGTTATAGTATTTTATTGTTGAACATATAGGTGATTTAAAAAAACTATATTTGATTGTTATCTTAAGTCAGGAAAGGATAAAGAACAAACAGGTCGTAATTTTTTTTTTTTTTTTTTTGGTGGGGGTGGGTTTCAAGACATGGCTTCTCTGTGTAACAGCCCTGGCTGTCCTGGAACTCACTCTGTAGACTGGCCTTGAACTCACAGAGATCCACCTGCCTCTACCTCTGGAGTACTGGGGTTAAAGATGTGCACCACCACTGCCTGGTCATGATTCTTGATCTCCAAACTTAATACAGAGCTGGGATGTAGCTCAGTGGCAGAGTACTCACCTAGATGTGTGAGGCCCTGAGTTCAAACCACAGCACAAAGAGAATCACCTTACTAGAATCTTCATTTGTCCAAATGTGTGACTACATAAAGGCAGTCATAGACCAATGGGCAGAATAGAGACCTTAGCTACAGACTCTTGGATATATGGCCAAATCATTGAGCGTGCGCATGACAAGACCAGTCAATGGGGTTAAAGACATGATACCCAAAATTCACTTAAAGTGGATCACAGATAGATCTACAAGGAAGCTTTTACAATTCTTGGAAGAAAACTGGAATCTGAGGGTGTAGTTCAGTGGCAGAGCACTTGCCTAGCACCCACAGGCACCTCCATCCCCAACACTGAAAACAAAAAAGAAAAAAGGCAGCCAGCCATGGCAGAGACAGTAGGATCCAGATTATTCTTAGCTTCATAGCAAGTTCCAGTCCTGCCTGGGCTACAGAAGACTTTGTCTCAAAATGGATATGGTGGTACACACCCTTAATTGTAGCACTCAGGAGGCAGAGGGTGTTGGAGTTCCAGGCCAGCCAGAGCTACATAGTGAGATCCTGTCTCAAAATAAAACAAAAACCAAACAATAATAATAATAATAATAATAATAATAATAATAAAAACACAAAAACATACAAAGGCAATGATTTCTAGGATTTGACACCAAAGACACAGCCAACAAATGGAAAAAAAATCGATAGGTTGGATTTCATGGAAATTTGTTTTTTGAGTATTTAATGACATTATCAACACTTTTAAAAGACAACCTACAGAATGGGAGAAAATGATGCAAGTCAGACCTGATAAGGCATTGATATCTGAAATGTATTGAGAAATCTTACACTCCACATTAACAAGAGCAACCCAACCGAACACACGCGATGTTCAAATCCTGGAGCTGATTTATCAGGGATGGACCAGGAGATCAGGAATATGAAGAACAGCATGGAAGCTAAGTGTAGCAGAGAAGCCAGACTGTGCCTTCAGTCCTGCCCAGCTAAAAGCTAACCATTTTTTAACCCGCCCCCTCCTCCCAGGGTTGCAGCAATGTAGGCAGCCAAAGGGTTAACCTTAAATTTACAAGTTATTGGGGTGGCTGCTGCTGAGGACCCCCAAGGAGCCCAGGGTGCCTAACTGCCTGTAAACCCAAATCCCTGTCCTGAGTAGTTTCAGGCTCTGGACTCAGATGGTTTCTCTGGGTTCCCATCCTCCACCCGCGGAGACTAGCTTTGCTGGCTACTGCAAACGAACGCACCTCCTACCCCCGCCCCGCACAGATAGAGAAACAGGCAGCCTCTGTGGCTGCCGTCAGTTTCTGGGTTAGCGCCTTAAGGCCATCTGCAGTCTCTGAAATTGGCCCAGGTCTGGCTGAAGTGACTGGGTTGAATGGGTGGGGGGCAGGGCGGAAAAGAGTGCAGGAGGTGAGGGTCTCCTTTCTTCAGGCTACAATGAGAGATCAGAGATAGACACCCCCGATTCCAGGTTAGAAACAAGGGAAAGAAGCCTCAAAACTGAGACGCCAGGCGAGGGATCTCCAGCCTTGAGTGTGGGGGTGGAGAATAGGGTCCCTCTCTACACAATGGCAGTCTCTCCGGGGGACCCCCTCTGCATTCTCAGGGACATCAGTCCTTCCCCTCCCCCCCAAACCCTGCGCCCTTTGCGGATTGGTCCCGAGCTGCCGGGGGGCGGGGCCCTAAGGCCCTGACGTCACCGGTGGGGGAGAGAGCGGGTTGCTGGGGGAGGGGGGTGACGAGCCCCGGCTCAGCACCTCGGAGAGCTCCCTCCCCGGCCTTGTTTTGCTCCGGAATCGCTGCCGGGGGAGGGAGCGAAGGGGCCGGGCACCAGGCGTCGAGGCCGAGGGATGGCATTGAAGAGGGCGAAGGGCCCCAGGGGGCAGAGGGCCCAGCCGTGATCCTGCGAGAGGGGCCAGGCTCCGGGTGGGGTGGGGGGCAGCGGGCGGCGGCAGCAGTGGTCGCACATCTGAATGGAAGCGAGCTTTGTCCAGACCACCATGGCTCTGGGGCTGCCCTCCAAGAAAGCATCTTCCCGCAACGTGATCGTGGAGCGCAGGAACCTGATCACCGTGTGCAGGTGGGCGCCGCTGGCAGTCCGGGTGGGGTGATTAGAGAGAGGGTTTGGGGCGGGCTGAGAAATCTAATGGTTGAACATGCCCACGGGGATGCTCCACAACCGCTGGAAAAAAGGCAGGACCGAGAGGCTTAGAGGGAACGCGCTCACTATCCTTCCCAGGCCCGGAACCCGGAGGCGGGCTGGAATGCGGGGCTAAAACCAGGCCTATGCCGGGCCTGGGGTTTGGGGGGATGAAGAGAGTTTAATTGGCACTGCAGCTTCCTGTGAAAACCAGGAAGTGACATTGTGTGTGAGGGGGAGGGGGAAGGGGCTCTCTTCCTGGCAGTGGGGGTAGGGTGGGCAGAGTGGACTCGATGGGGTTGTGGGTGGATGTCCTCCAAGTCCCCTCTTGCCACCCCATCATCTTGGCTTCTTGGGGTGGAGCTTTCCTAAGAGACTTTCCTATGCTCAACCCTTCCTGAGGCAAGGATGCTGTTTCTGAGCAGATACAGCCTGTGGCAGGATCAACTGGGCAGGCTGCAAAGACCCTGAATTCATCTAGTGAAGGTCGAAGGCGCTACCCTGTTGTAGGAAGCATCCAAGGCCTGGTTGCAGAAGCCTGGGCCCGAGTCTCAGAGGAGATTGGGAGCCCAGATCCCCAAATCTCTGAGGGTGGAGCTGTTGCAGGACTGGGGAAATTCTCAGCTTTCTTCAACACCAGGAAGTAACCCTTCCCACTTCAACCCTGCAGTGACTCCATGCCCTGCTCTGAGGCCAGAAAGCTGCCAGCTGTACAGGCTCTCTCCCAAGCCCCCACCTGTCCTTGCCTCTCCCTCTGGGATCTCCATGCCAGCTGCCTTCTTCACCTGCAGCTTCCATGCCTGCCATGTCCACCAAATGCTTGGATTACATTTCTCCTGGATGTAGGGCTGATTGTCTTTCCTTGCCAGCCCCACCTGCCTGCACTTACGCCGCAACCCTGTTCCTCCTCCCAGGAATCATGTCCACCTGATGCCCAGTCTCCCAGCACCCAGAGCTCCTTTGGATACAAGGGCACATACCCAGCCATGTTGTCTCTGTTTCAGAGCCTCCTTTTCCCAGTGTCTCGAAAGTGCTGTGCACACCAGCCAGGTGTGAAGGTGGCTGGGATGTGTGGAAGGAGTGTACTGATGACCTAGCCCAGAGCACAGCCACTGTCTCTGCCCTCCTTTCCCAAATCCTGTCAGTGTGGATCCACACCTAGGGTTAAGCTTTTGCTTCAGTCCTTAGCTGTGCCGCCTTGTGGAAGTTTCCTAACTACTCTGTGCCTTCTCTTAGGCACATGCTTTCCTAACTACTCTGTGCTTTCTCTTAGGTCTTAGATTTTACACCTTAGATGTAAAAAGCCATACCAAAGAATAGGTTGTGGTATGCCATATTAGATGCTAGCCAGTCCCTGGCACATGGAAACAACTATCTCAATGACACTCTTGTCCCTACAGCCCTTGGCCATTAGGCCCATCTTTTTCTCGCCTGCCAGGATAACTAGGGTGGGGATAGGGAGCCACTTGGCCTAAGCTGGAGAAACAGAGGTTCAGGGGACTTGGAGGTAGCTCAGAGTTGGGGACAAGGTATAGTTTAGAGGGGCCAGGGACCCCTGCTGTCTCATCACTGTCACAGGGTCCTCCTTGCATCCACCAGCAGCTCCCTTTAGCACTCTGCAGGCTCCCCTGGGCCCTGGCCTCCCTGTCTCCATGGTAACCACAGCAACTATACTCCTTCTAACCAGGCCCACACCACGGGGTTCCCAGAGGCTCTAACCGGCTTTCAGCTCCCCCAAGGACAGATGGCAGATGGCTGCCACACTGACCAGGCCCCAGGCCGCTACTGAAGTCTGACCCAGATGACCACAGATTGATGGTGTCCATAACAAAGCCAATAATGGTCTGATCACAGCCTCAGGCTCCCTCCTGGCAGGGGCAGCCTTGACTCCTCACCTGGCCTGTGCCCAGCAATCCATACCCTCTCACCTCCTCCCACCCTTTTCTGGGATCCGAACCAAAGTTGAATGAGACAAGTGCTGATATTTCTGTCTGCACCCAAGGTGCAGGATTTGAATCCAGCTGCCTGTTCTCTCTAGCACAGCCCAACACTGACCTGTCTGGCCTCAGGCTCTGTCCCCGGACAAGCCCAAAGGAAGGTGGCGGGGAGAGACTTGGTTGGTTGTGCTGTTGACTTGGGAGCCTTAGTGACCAGTATTCCACTGAGGCTTCTAGAGCACTCAGACATCAGACGGTAGAGGTTTCTCAGGCTCTGAGCTCAGTACTTGTTTGTATGTGGGATTTTTTTTTTTTTTCTCTCGTAGACAGCGTCTCTCTAGAATTCACTATGTACACCAGGCTAACCTGGAACTCACAGAGATTCTCCTGTCTCTGCCCACTGATTACTAGGACCAAAAGCATGTGCCACCATGCTTGGCTAGTACTATTTTAAAAGATGACATTTGTTTGTTTATTCATTTTGTGTGTGCATGTGTCATGGTGTGATATGAGAGTCAGAGGACAACTGATGGGAATAGGGTCTCTCCTTCCACTGTGGAGGCCCTGGGATTGAACCTGGGTCATTTGGGCTTAGTGGCATATGCCTTTATCCATTGAATTAGCTTACTGGACAAGCCTTGATGCTTATAACAGCCACTGGGAAGCTGTAAGGCAGAGGAGAAAGAGTCTAGAGTGGAGAATGAGGGAAATGCTTGCCTCCTCCCACGTTACCAGACTCTGGTCACTCCATCTCTGGAGCCTTTCGCTTCCTTAGCTATAATATGGGGAAGGTGGTCATCAGAGGACCTACCTTCCAGGGCTGTGGCAAGGACAGGTGGGTTGACATGTGTGGTTCTTGGCATATTGTACAGTTTGGTAAACGTGGGTAGAATAAAAAAACAGATCTAAGTATTTCCCATATCCCTGGGCACCCTGCTTCTGCTCTGTCTCCAGAAACAGAGCGGTAAGGAGATGAGAGCTGTGTCTTCTCCTTGTTCCCCTCACTGCAAAGATGGCAACTGCAGAATGCAGAGTAAGGGTGGCAGAGGACGCAGTGTTGAGCAAGGCTGGAGAGAGTGATGGGGCTGCTTGGCTCCAACCCCTTGGGCTCACTTGCCTTCTTTGGCTTTTCCTCCCTAAGAAACCAGTGTCTGGACCCCCACGTCCCTTCCAGAGCTCCCTCTCACCTGATGGATGTCAGACCCACAGAGCGCATTCTTCCCCCACGCCCCAGGCTCTACACTGCCTAGTTCTGGGCAGCTGGTGTGTGGGTGGGCTAACTGAGAAGGAGGGGGAGGAGGGATGTCCTGGAGCTGCAGATCCACCTGGCCATGAGTGACGTTCCATGTGCACAGTGGCAGCTCGTATGCTCTGATGCAGGTGACCCCCAGCCCCACAGAGATGGGAGTTCATTCTGACAATGTTGAAAACCTGTTCGGGGACATGGGTGCAAACTGGCTTCTGACTCCTGGTTGACCCTCAGTTCACACAGGTGGAAAATGCCCGCTCTGAAGGGTGGAAGGGACAAAGGGTCTGGGGACTATCTCCTAGGGCTTGCTGTCTTCTTTCTACCTATTGCTTCATCCTCCCTCATACCTTGTCCCTGAAGCTTCCTTTCTCTGCTCTCTCTTCTGCACCCACTTAGCCACTCAGTTTTCTACCTGTCCCCGCCTCTTGTCCCATCTAGTTTGGGATCTTCTGTGGTCACTCTAGTTTCACGTGCCCCACATCACACCCATGCCCTTCACGAGCCCTTCCCTGCCTATTACTTTCTCTCTGACCCTTCCTCTACCACCCTGTTTGACCCCCTCACCCTTTCCCCCTCCACCCAGGTTCTCTGTAAAAACCTTGCTGGAGAAGTACACAGCAGAGCCCATTGATGACTCATCCGAGGAGTTTGTTAATTTCGCAGCCATTTTGGAGCAGATCCTCAGTCACCGTTTTAAAGGTAGGCTATCGTCACCCACCCGCTCCAATCCCAGCCACCACTCTGATATTCTCTGTGGATTTCTAAACCCCATCCCTGGTCCAGGGCCCCATTCTGGGCTGTATATAGAAACGAAAGCACACTACTTGGAGACTGGGGAGAGGGTCATCTGCCCACAGCTTCGTCACTGGGCGTGTTGGCAAGCCTGTTGCCTATGCTGGGGGAGGCAGTACATGTGTGTGGTGACTCATGCTTATACATGTGAGTGCTGTACGACAGCGACCCTTTCCAAACTCCCTGGTCTCGCTGAGTCCCCTCCCTGCCCTGGCTCAGCTTGTGCCCCAGCAGGTCCAGTGAGCTGGTTCAGCTCGGATGGGCAACGGGGCTTCTGGGACTATATCCGACTGGCCTGCAGCAAAGTGCCCAACAACTGTGTGAGCAGCATTGAGAACATGGAGAACATCAGCACAGCCCGAGCCAAGGTAAGGGAGGGGCTGCAGCAGGTGGCAACACACCAGACCCCTGCTTTGGACATAGGGGCCCTGTCCTTACCTCTTGCCAGCAGCACTGAACTGGGAGACCATACCTGATGTTGGACATATAGGTCCCTCTGGGACAACTAAAGTTGACCATACTTTCTAGGGCCGGGCATGGATCCGGGTGGCCCTGATGGAGAAGCGCATGTCAGAATACATCACCACAGCTCTTCGGGACAACCGAACTACCAGGTCAGACCTCTCAGACAGTAGTATGCACATGCATTGCCCACGCCTTAAGTCCCCACAGCAACCTTTCATACTTGAACTACAAGTTCCAGCATGCACCAGTAGTTTGCTTCTCCCAGATGGCATGGTAATGGGACTGCAGAAGCCTCAGTCACATACCATTTTCCTTGGCCTTGTGCCATGACCTACAACACACAGCTCTGCCAGCTCTGCAAACAAAAGCAGTCACTCTATTCTTCCAAGAACAGAGTTCCAATGTGTGAAGCTTCAGTGCTTGGCCTGGGGGTTTGCCAAGAAGGTGGGTCCTGAGGGTCAGGGATCACAACGCAGAATGTGCCATTGTTGGAGTAGGAAGCTATTGAGGGTGAAGGGGCTCCCCCCAAACCTGATTTTGTTTTACTACATTCTATCTCTAGTCTTGCTCCCTGATGGAAAGGATTGGGGTGACCCAGAGTTTGATAGAGGCTGCTGAGCTTAGACAACAGAATAGTGTCACTTGTAAGGCACTGCATTGTGACAGGTGTGGGGGTGGGGACAGGCGTGAGTGACGACAGTCCAACCGGAAGACAAGGGCTGCCCATGGCAAGCTGGAAGGAACCTTCTCTTTCCTCTAGGAAAGTTTGTAGATAAGTAAGCCAAGCAGAGAAGTCTTGGAAGCAGGGCCCCCTGAGAGTCTCTGTTCTCTCTCTGCAGACGGTTCTATGACTCAGGAGCCATCATGCTGCGGGAGGAAGCCACTGTCCTCACAGGGATGCTGATTGGGCTCAGCGCCATCGACTTCAGGTGGGGTCTGCATGGCGGTGGTCAATGGGACTCTCTCCCCCACAACTGTCCAACGCCCCTCATTCCCTCCTCCCACCCCGTGGCTCTTCTGCCCCAGCTTCTGTCTAAAGGGCGAAGTTCTGGACGGGAAGACGCCGGTGGTCATCGATTACACGCCCTACCTAAAATTCACCCAGAGGTGAGCAGCCCCGTTATTGCGGTGGGTGAGGAGATGGGCACCGGAAGGGCACTGAGTGTCATCCTGGTGTCACTGCCCAAGGGTCGGAGTTGGGGTGCTAGTGGGGCGAGGTGAGGCGGAGCCAGCCCCACCCACTGCTCCCGCCCCTAAGCTACGACTACCTGACGGATGAGGAGGAGCGGCACAGTGCGGAGAGCAGCACCAGCGAGGACAACTCGCCTGAGCACCCCTACCTGCCTCTCGTCACCGACGAGGACAGTTGGTACAGCAAGTGGCACAAGATGGAACAGAAATTTCGCATTGTCTATGCGCAGAAGGTGAGCTAGGCGAAGCACGGGAGACGGGCATAGCGGGGACAGGGTCCAGGCTGGGACCTCTTTGGAACTGGCGCTCTGTAGGGATACCTGGAGGAGCTGGTGCGCCTGCGTGAGTCGCAGCTGAAGGATCTGGAGGCAGAGAACCGGCGGCTGCAGCTGCAGCTGGAGGAGGCTGCAGCGCAGAATCAGCGTGAGAAGCGGGAACTGGAAGGCGTGATCCTGGAGCTGCAGGAGCAGCTGTGAGCCCGCCTCCTGCCCTGCCCTGACCCGACCCCCAAAGTGAACCCCAAAGTGAATCCACTGGATGGCATCACTTTCCTTACACCAACATACAATTCGCATCAGCCCACCCATATCCCACACTCACAAGATCCTGTGGTTGCCAAACATTACCCTCAACATTAAGATCCTGCACCCTCCATCACCCATCAGCTAGCGACACCAGCCACTGCCGCAGGACACGTTACTCACAGGACCTCAGCGGCCTTCAGCTTTCTTGTGCCTTCAGCTCTTTTGTTCGGGCCTTTGATCTGCATCACCCAGTGATCCCACAATCTAGAACATTTCTCCCCTAAACCTGTCCCAGCCAGGTAGCTAGCACAAATCCTACCCCTTCAAGAGTCTCCACTTTCCTCTTTACATCATCCCAACGAACTCCTAGACACCCCATCCCTCCAACTCCCAACATGAATGCACTAATCCTGGCTACCCCTCTGTCCCCAGGCTGCCCTTATACCCCCTACACGATCTAACACTGTCTTCCTGGCCCCTTTAGAAACACGGCCTCATTAATTAGCAGGCCTCAGACTTGTGCTCCACCTTCCACCTCCTAGTGCTCCAACTCCAGATATGTGTCATCACCAATTGTTACTACTCAGGCTTCCTTTCTAAGCCCTGGCCCCCACCTTTGCTGAGTCTTGCTTCCCTCTCCCAGCCAGGCCTGATCCCCCTCCCCCTCCCAGGACAGGTCTGATCCCCGGTGACCATGCCCCCCTGGCCCAGGGTCCCAAGGAGTTCACTACACCCCTGGTCAACCAATGGCCCTCCCTGAGCACACTCAATAGGCCCGAGGGTGCCAGCAACTCCAAGCTATATCGGAGGTAAGCCCCAACCCAATTACTACCCCCAAACTCCTTCCCAGGAAGCAGGGCCTGGAGGTATGGGCCATGGCCTGCACACTTTTCTGTCCTGCCATAGACACAGCTTCATGAGCACCGAGCCGCTGTCTGCAGAAGCCAGCCTGAGCTCAGACTCCCAGCGCCTGGGAGAGGGCAAGCGGGACGAGGAACCCTGGGGCCCCATCGGTGAGCACACTCCTCACACACACCTTGGTACTTACTACACCTTAGAAAATGGCGTCTGCCGTGAGACCATGGCTGAACCAACCCCTTCTCTCAGCCCTTCCTGTCCTTACATCATAGCACCAACAGGGAGCTTGGTTTGAGGTTTCAGAGAGAACCAGGTGCAAATTTAAGTTGCACGTCCTCACCTGCAAGCCTGGCCAGTCTCTTCACCTTGCTGACCCATATTCCCATCTGTAAAATAGGGATATTGGTAACAAGAGCCTCCAGTGTCCATGAATGGAGAGGGCTCAGGGACCGTCTAGTATCATTTGACATCCTCACAGGGCTCACATTCCTGGACTCCTCGGTCTAGTTTGATCTTACCACATGCACACATGAACTGCTGCCTGACCAATGTTTCCCCCTTTTCTTTGACTGCCAGGAAGCTCAGAACCAAATTAGTGGCTCCCTCCAAGTGAATGCCCAGGACTTCAAGGCATGCATTTTGTGTTGACCTCACCCCTGGCTCCAACTTGGTTTCTCCCTTCCTAGTTTTCCCCATGCCTGGACTTCCTGCCGTTTCCTTTTCTTCCTTCCTTCCTTCCTTTTTCTTCCTTTTTTAATATATAGATATATAACTCCACTGTATCAGATAACTGGATTTTGAGACAGCAGAATATGGACATGTAACCCACCACACTGTGTTTGTGACTGTGTGTGTGTGTGTGTCTCCCCAATCAGACTGTGAGCTCCACGAGGGCAGGAACCATGTCTTGTCCGTTCTCTGTATTCCCAGTGTGAGAAACAGAGCAAATGCTCACTGTGTGCTTAATAAATGGACAAAGAGGCTGAACCTCAGGGGGAGACAGAGACATGAACGGATGATTACAATACAATGTCCCAAGCACACTCAGTCAGGGTTTAATTAAAAATGGCAGATGCTTCAGAAGAGGCTAACAGTCTCCTGGGGGTGACCTGAGAATTGTCCTTTTACTACCCATCCATGAAATCCTCTGCCCCACATACAGCCTGGTCGGTCCAGCCTTACCCACCCTCTCTCCCCAGGGAAGGACCCCACGCCCTCCATGCTGGGCCTCTGCGGCTCCCTGGCCTCCATCCCCAGCTGCAAGTCCCTGGCGAGCTTCAAATCCAACGAATGCCTGGTGAGCGACAGCCCAGAGGGCAGCCCAGCACTTAGCCCCAGCTGAGGCGCAGCATGGGCAATGCTAGCCCCACCTGCCAGGGGCCATGGACAACTGCCATCTTTTGAGTCCCCCCAACCCAGGCAACCCTTCAAGAATGCTGCCCACCTAGCCGAGGGCCAAGCCCAAGCCTCTTTCCTGCTTCAGCTTCTGGCCAAGGAGGCAGGAGCTGCACTGGGAAGTGGGTGGGGCCAGGAGGAAGGGGCACCCAGGTCACAGGTAGTCAGTCCCCTGGGGAGGCTGCTCCATTCGGGTGGTCCTGAAGTCTGCCTGGTTCCCTTTGCTCATGTTCCACACCTGCCTCAGGAGCAGGTGGTCCAGCCCTGGCATTCCTGCTGCCCTGCCTCTGGTCTGTCCCTGTGTACCCTCTGAAGTCACCCTTCCTTGGTACCTATGTGGAGAGGTTAGGCAAATAAAAACCAGAGGACTGAGGTGGCTTCATCTGTTGTGGAGTGGGGCAGGACTCCAGAGCAGGCTTTCTTAATGAAGATAATGGTGTAGGACTAGCATGTGCCCTGTGGGAGCAAGTGGGACCATCATTCAGGACAAGGGGGGAGGGGCTTCTGTAGCTCTGCAGTGCTTTCTGGCTCTGACCCCTCTAATACTTTCTCAAGTCCTAGCAGAGCCCTCTGCCGGTCTGCCTTGTGGGGCATTTGCCTGCCATAGGCCTATTCAACTCCATTGTGGGTCAAAGCTGCAGCTCCATCCATCCATTATGCCAGAGCTGGCAAGAAGGCAAATCTGCCCCAGTGAGACCACCTTGGTGAGCACTTGCTCTCACCCCAACACAGTGACCTAGCATGGAAGGGCCTCACCACCACATCGCAGCCTTCACCCTCATCCTATCTGACTGGGTATCCCATACGATAGGAACCTTTTTAGACAGGGTCTCTGGCTGGCCTGGGGCTCACTGTGTAGACCAGGCAGGCTTCAGACGCAGAGGTCACCTGCCATCAACTCGCTAGTGAGTGGCAGCCTTTTTTTTTTTTTTTTTTTTTTTAAAAAGACAGTCCTGGTTGACCTGGTACTTGAGGCAATCCTTATACCTCAGCCTCCCAAGTGCTAGAATAACAAGTGTGGGTGACTGACTGGGGGCCCCTAAATGTACACACACAGGCAAAGACACCGCAGTCACAGCAGTGCACAGAAGGTCATCATCTTTAGACGGGGGAATAAACAGGGCTGCCTGGCCCGAGATCTTGATTCCTCGGGGCCAAGCTACAACAACCATAAAGGGCATACAGCAAAAGGGGTAGCTGTCAGATTTGGTCTTGAACTTGGAGGTGGACAAGTGGTGATCGTGGTCAAAATGTGAGGGTAGCCTGGATGACTGGGCTGGGAAGGAAGGCACTTGGCTCAGTCTCCTGTCCCCACCCGCTCAAGAGCTGGTTGCTCCTGGCCTTTCAGGAGCCCAGAGGCTGTTCCTGGTTGAGCCTCTGGAAGAAACTTTTGCCAAACTCGTAAGTGCTGATCATGATGGCACATGACGGAGCAGCCTTGATGATTCTTGGGAGGAAACCTGTGGTGGGAGTTCAGACCTTGGTTAGGGGTCCAGGTCCCTTCACAGATATAACATGATGTACACAGTACATGTGCACACAGACAGGTACCCACCTGCAAAGAGTCCCCTGGTGCCCGATTCGGCCTGGATTCTCCGAAGCAGGAGCCAGGTGGAATCAATTCTTGGAGGCTTCACTGCAGATTCAAGGCCCAGCTTAGTAGGACCCAGTCTGGGCCCCTGCCTGCCCCCGACCTTCACTAGTCCTAGCTCACCTCTCATAGCTTCCAGGGCTCCCAGTGTGATCTGTCGCTGTGTCTTCACCACATCAAAGGGTAGAGTAAGGGTGGCAGCCACCTGGTGGGGTGGGGAGTGGGCTCAGCTCCATTCCCTGGCCCCATTTCAGCCCTCCCATAGCTGGTGGGAGGGACTAAAGCATCTCAAGGGTGGCTGAGGAAAGCAAGCAGGCTCCCTAGCAGGCATTGCTATGTGGGGACCTTCTGGGCATCTCCTCTGGTGGCCTCACCCCCCCCCAAGCCAGTCAACTCACCATTCCTGAGATGCCACCAGCCACAAAGCTGACGCCCACAGATGTCTGGTCTTTTGGCCCATTCAGCCAGCTCTTCACCAGCTCATAGTTGAACCAGTATAGAGCTTGGGAAGTAGATACATTCATTAATGGTGGGAGCCAGGGAGTGGGCTCCAGACTTCTATCTCCCACCCACAGCCAGACCACCCCAGGCAGTGGTTGCTCTGTCCTAGGCAAAACCCGTCCATGTCACTTAGTCCATATCAGAAAAACCAAGTCCATATCAGAGATAAGGAACCCAAGGGTCGGAAGTGATGTGAGTTCAGGGCCATTAGTGACACAGGAAGGACTTGTTTGTGGACCCCTTTAACATTATCCAAGGCGTCTTTTACCCTATGCTCTCAACAAAAGTGCCTACCTGAGAAGGGCACATCTCGAAGGGCTGTGGGACCCCAGCCCAGCCACAGTGAGCGCCAGCCCCCCTGAGCCACAGCAGCTTGAACACAGGTAGCTAGTTCCCGATATGACACGTGCTGAGCCTGCAGCTTGGTCCGCACAAGCTCCAAGGGGCTGATGACTGTCACAGTGCCCACTATGGTTGGTAAAATAGTGGAAGGTCAGGCCACTGATACCATGCATCAAAACCCAGCTCTTGCCCCAGGATCTGAGGGTTTAGAATAACACCAGCCTCCAACCCCCCCACCGGCAGAGGAAGGACCTAGGAGGGACAGAGGGAGGTCAAGAGCCAGGGTTGTGCTCACTGCGGGCGAGGGCACCAGCCACCATGGGTGCGTAGAGGTCAGAGGTCAAGGATTGACCACATAGGAAAGCCTTGAGTTGGTCATAGGCAGTGAAGTAGATGGCAGTAGCTGGCACAGTCATCACCCTGGGAATATGAAGAGACCAGAAAAGTTACCTAGGGACTCTCAGACCATTCAAGTGCTCCCTCCCTCACCCTGCCAATAGGAGTCAAGGGAAGAAAACACACCATGGGGAGGGGGTACTCACAGGGTGGCTGGGAGGCCGCTCCACAGGGTCCTAGTACCCTCATGCCTCACAATCTTCACAAAGGCATCCTGACCAAGCCAGCAAGAGCCCAGAGGAAAGATGGACATGAACAGGGTCCGTTATGGACTGTCTCAGAGCTAGTTAGCCCTCAGATCCTGATAAGAGCTAGCTAACCCTCAGGCTTCCCTACAGGCAGCTACCCATGTGGTTCTAGGTGGACTCCTATTCACCCTTTAAAACCTTAAGGAGAGCTAGGATGCACTCTTCAGTAGCAGAGTGCCAGACTAGCATGTATTAAGGTCACGGTTTTGATTTTCAACACCAGGACCAAAAATCCTTCTGAAAGAATCCCAGGCAAAGCCAGGTGGTGGTGGCACACAGCTTTAATCCTAATACTTGGGAGGCAGAGGCAGGACAGTCTCTGTGAGTTCAAGGCCAGCCTGGTCTACAGAGCGAGTTTCAAGACAGGCAGAGCTACACAGAAAAACCCTGTCTCAGAAAACAAACCAAAACAAATCCCAGGAAGCCCTTCTCACACTGAACAGCCACAATTCCCCACACCTGCAGCCTAGCCAAAGCGAGTCTCTCATGTACACGGTTGCTCCTTACCAAGGTGCCAGTGAATCGGGTAGGATCCTGGAACCAGGTAGCACAGCGAGTACCATTTGGGCACAGGTACAATGGCTCCAGGACACCATTGCAGTATAGGAGGCACTTCCCTGGGGACTGTAGAGTAGAGGGAGCTGGGGAAGGGGATGGACATTAGGATGGCAGGGCCTGCAAAATTGCTGGGCGACAGCTGGGTCACTGTGTGGGTATTCCTATGTAGGACAGGAGACCATTGTCTATGACTAAGGACCCCATATACTCTAGGGATGTGGGTATTCCTATGTAGGGCAGGAGGCCATTGTCTATGACTATGGACCCCATATACTCTAGGGACACTGGAACACTTCTTCCCTTGGCCCTTCCACACCTTCCAGGGGTAGTTTGGGACACTCACATTTGGTGTAGAAAAGACTCCAGAATCTGGAAGGTGTCAACTCTGAAACACAGGTCATCCATGATCAGGAATACTCCCACATACTGGGATCCCGTCTCTGGGAGACCCTTATTTTGTCAGGCAGCCCCCTCAATCTGGCTCCAAGTTCAGGTACTCACCGCTGGCTACTGAGGGCCTCTGAGACTGAAGTCGGACCTTCACCACATCCAGGGGTGTCACTGGGGAAGGAGGAAGGTCTGAAGGCCCCTACATCAGGACCCAAACTGCCTCCAACCTCTAGCCCACATCAACCCCCACCTGCCCACATCCCATCTTACTGAAGAGGGAGGTGACCACAGCCCCAGCTCCTGAGGCCACCATTTGCTGAAAGGGGCTAATGCCCCCAGGATCCTGATCATCCATCTTGGAGTTTCAATCCTGAAAAACAAACCGCGGTCAAATGGGGCTTGCCCTCTGACAAAAGTGTCCTGGAGAGAGACAAACACGAGGTAAGGCACGTTGGAACTCCACCAGCAGTGCACTCTGGGCTCGTCCAGCGCTTGCCTCCATAACGTTTCAAATTCATAAACGGCTTCACTTTGTCAAAGGGGAAACTAAGGCGGTGACCTTCAAGGTTACACCATTAGTTTGGAAAGAAGCTAGAATAGCCGGAAAGAAGCTAGGATAGCCGTTGGCCAATGGCAGTGACAGTCAATGGCATTTCCTCAACCACATGCTTACTAGCGCACCTCCGGACTCCAAAGGCCAAAAGATAGAAAACACCTGAGCCTTGCCCTGTCCACCTAACATCTGGGCGGGCACATGAGCGCCCTGGGCGAGAGGTGGAGTTGGGCATAAGAAACGTGTAAACAAATCTGGTGATAGAGAGGAAGGTCCCTTCCCTCTAGAGATTGCTGGCCCTCCCCCACACTGCCAGCCCAGGCCAGAATGGCCAGGCCGGGAGGCCTGGGTGGGAGGCCACGCTCTGTCTCCTATCTCTCTTAAATTCAAGCCGCAGGCTCAACCGAGACAGAAGCAGAGACCCGGTAACAAGCCCTCTCTCCGAGATATGGCCGCACTCCATGCCCAGGCCCAGGCAAGGGACGCCTGGCGAGGCCCATCCCTTCCCCCAGCCTCGATTAGGGTTCCCGGGGACGCTCGAAGAGTCCACTCCAGTTCCGGCCCGCTCACCTGGGTCTGAGTCGGTGCTTGCGCCGCGCCGCGCCAGGGGCCTGGCGGGCCCATAGCGGCTCCGCGGCCGGTGGAGGGTCCGCGCGCGCCCGCTTCGCACAGCGGCCGCCTAGGAAAGCGGTGGAGCAGGCCCCGCCTCCAGCGGAGCTAAGCCCCGCCCCGTGGGCCGACTGGCCGCGCGCACGGAGTGCCACGAGACCCACCCACTCGCGGTCCTCCGCCTTCCACCGGAGTCCCGCCCTTGCGCCGCGGTCCCGGGGGTGGGTCCCCACGGTCCCGCGCTCCTTGCAACCCTCAGGTCAAGGTCGCCGCCGCCTGTACGGCGCGTGACCTGGCTGCAGTAGCTCTCTAGCCCGCCCGCGCCCCGCAGGATCTCCGCCCGGAGAGTCTGGACCTGCGATCGTTGGGACTTAACAGACCGAGTGGATATCGCTGCGAGGGTCGCTTCTCCAAGGTCATCAGGGCACAGAGCAGCTACGGCAAACTTTCGCTCACTGAGCTCCGTAGCGGGAGTTGACAATTCATGGCGAGTGTGTAGGAAGGAATCACCATCGTTTTCATTTATGGATGATGAAATGAGGTTGCAACCCCAGAACGCTTTATAAGGAGCAGGGCAGCCGTGTTAGCCGTGGGGCCTCCGGCTTCGGGGACACCCATTGAGAGCATGGAACAGGGAAGAAAACAAGTGCTTTGCGGCTGGTGTCAAATTGTTCTAGCCTTTAAAGCTCAAAACTTTTTTGGGAGGTGGGGAGAGGGGCTGATCTATGCAACCTTGGCTGGGCTAGAGCTCCCACTGTAGGCCAGGATGGCCTCTATCAAAACTTTTCGTAGTAGGTTTTTGCCAACATAGGCGACCCCATTTTACAGAATATAAAACACTAAAAGTTGAAATTGTAGCCTCTGCCTTCCCAGGTGCTGGGAGGGCTCGCATGCAGCGCTGTTTCCGCGCCAGCTCAGCACCCTGAACCCCACCGCCCGTCCGCCTCTCCTTTAAGACTTTCCCACTACCGGGATGCTCGTTCTAACAGGAACGGGAACACGCGGTGTGAGCCTGCAGCTTTAAGAAGAATGGGCCGCGGCTTTAACGTCACTACCTTCCCCGCCCCTCAGGCCCCGACTGGACGCGCACAGCGCTGGAGCCGCCCAGCCAGCCCGGCTAGCACGTGGATTCCAAGGGGCCAACCATAACTTTTCCCTGCGAAAACCCTCGCTGCTTTTCCGTAACTCGGAACCACCAGCTTTGGGGGCGGAGTAAAAGCAAGCGGGTAGTTAGAAAAGCAGCCAGCGATTTTCAGGCCCCGGGAATAGGTTGGCGGAGAGGCTGAGGCGGGAGGAGCTACGGGTTAAGTAGGTCGAGAGTAGCCTGGACTATGTTGTAGAGCTTACTTTGTCCTTCCCATTCTCTTCTCACCCCAAACCTGGTTTAAAAGTGACACAAAAATCATTTCGTAGCCGGCGGTGGTGGCGCACGCCTTTAATCCCAGCACTCTGGAGGCAGAGGCAGGTGGATCTCTGTGAATTGGAGGCCATCTTGGTCTACAAGAGCTAGTTCCAGGACAGGCTCCAAAGGACAGAGAAACCCGGTCTGGGGGGAAAAAATCATTTCGTGAACTGTCGCTTAAGTTGGGAACCCAGCTCCCGCTAAAGTCCTTTCAACCTCAAAGTTAATGGTTTACCAAGTTTCGGAGTGGAGAGATTACTTAACTATTCCGTAGAGAAGAAAACTGAAGGCCCTCCCTGTGTGTAATTCTCTTTCTTGTTTATGACTTGGGAGTTTTGCTTTGTTTTCTGTTCCTTTTGAAACTGGGTGTCTTGTAGCCCAGGCTACCCCCATGGCAAGGATGACCTTGAACCGATCCTCCTGCCTTCGAAATGGTGGGATTTCAGACACAAGTAACCATAGACCAGCAGTGGTTGGTACTTTCCCTACCCATACTCCCAAATTTGCAGATGAGGAGAGTCCCCTGAAGTCATTCAAAAGAACCTGCTTTTCATGAGGTCACTCTGCCCCAGCAACACCACTCACACACCTCAAGTTACTGGCCTGTAATGTCCGAGGCAGTCTGCAGACTGGAGAGGTTGTATTGTAATCAATTCATCAAGATCCAAGTTGAACAAGAGAAACATCTTAATAAAGAGAAATGACAAGTCATCCACCAACGTAGTTCCCATGAGATGTGCAGAGACCTCTCAAAGGTAGGGGAGGTGCTCTGTTCTTGTCTTTACAGGAAAATGGAAAACACTCATCTTCAAACAGCCAAAAGACGCTGAACGTGTAGGTACCTACAGAAGAGAAGACAGCTCTCCAGAAAGAACCATTTAATGAAGAGGAATTGGATGGTAAAAATATTTAAATCTAGTGAGCTATTTCTATATAGAAATTCTCTTTACTATCTAGTATTCCTCTAGTCCCAATTCATGTAAACCAATGCTGGCTTTGGAGTTGGATTTGGCTTTCCTTCTCTAAATTCAAGCATGTTGTTAAGATTAAATTCACGGTTTCTGTCTTACATCAAGAAGCCAACTGGTGTAAGGCAGAATAAAACAAAATCTGGGGACTGCCATTTGTCTAAACTCGGTTTTCTCTCTGAAATCTTAATTTTCCTCATATACATTTTCATGCTTAATGTTGCCTTTCCCAATATGCATACTTTAAAGGTTGAAATTTTTATGTTGATATTGTTCAAGTTTTCCACAATATTGTTTAAGTATTTGTTCCTGCTTTACTCAGGAAAGTTTTAATCAGTCTTTTTAGCTAAGTTCCCGAGTATTATAGATTATCTTCACTCACATTTCCTGTACCTATGAGATTAGTCAGATATAGATGCTTAATCTTCAATCCTTCATAGACATGCAGAACATGGCATTTAAATGTTTTAATATTAGTACTCCTTTGACATGAGACACTGTTGCTCCTGACAGCACCGTGCATTTTCCCGAAAATATGTTGGACACTGTTGTTGCTCCTGCTGGAGTTCAATCTCGCCTCAGCTAATGGCCTGTTGGGCATAGAATTGCCCCCACCTTAACCACTGATTTGGACATGCAGTCCTATGTGCTTGCAGGAGACAAATATAGAAGACTGCTTGACCTTGCCAAGTCAGGGTAAGACAGCCATTCTATTTCCCTGCTGTTGTTGTGGTCTGTCAAGTTCTCTTGGCCTTAGCCAAATCTGGGTGTACCAACGTCGCTGTGAGACCTAGGGTGACTGTTCAGGTGGCTTGCTGTTTCTGTCCTTGCTGCACCGTTTTGGAAGTTGTCCATCCGCATTTCCTGTCTACTCTAGTATTGTTATTTTCCTTCTCAGGTCTTGATGAGGTTGAAGATTAAACTATCACAACTATTATTCTCTCTTCCTAGTTAGATATATTAGGTACTAGACTTACGTTTTCCAGCTTAGGACAACTCTATTGTAAACTCCATTTTGCCCTCACCCTAGGACTAGATATGTAGGTCATTTTGTTCTCGATTTTCCTTTTCTTAGAGCACACTTGTTATTCACTGTTTTGTATATAGTTTTGTATTAAGCCTAAATCTTTTCTTTAGACTAAAAGGGGAATTGTAGTGAGGTAGTCCTTCTGTAGCACTGACCACGCCCATTGGGGGGTGGAGCGATGGGCGGAGGTGACCTGAGGAAGGAGGTCGGAGGGGGCCAGGAAGGCGCTCTCTTTCTGGCGTGACTCGGACAGGAGAGGATCGGGTTGAATTTCCTGGTGTTCATCTGTCTAGGTTGTAAGTTATTTCTCCCTGAATAAACATCTATTCGGCCTATTTGTTTATCCTGACCCTTATTTACCGCAATAATGAGGCATTGGATTCTCTCCCATAAGGTTGGCAAGGAGGGACAAGAACCTTGACCCGGGGCTGGAGAGATGACTCAGCTGTTAAGAGCACTGGCTGCTCCTCCAGTGGACCTGGGTTCAATTCCCAGCACCCACATGGCAGCTCACAAATGTTTATAGCTCCAAGATCTGACACCCTCACTCAGACACACAGGCGGGATCTGACATTCTCACACAGACATACAGGCAGGCAAAACACCAATGCACATAATCAGTTATTTAAAAAAAGAAATGTGGCCATCTGAGAAAAGGGGAGCTGCTACCAAAGGTGGTATTAAGTGGAAGCAAAAAATAAAAGAATAGACATAGAGTAAAAAAAAAAAAAAAGAACTTTGACACATCTTAGAAACAGACATCCAAGCCCTGGTTAGACACTGGCTAGATCTGCAAGCTTGGAGGCCTGAGCAGACAGTGGCTACTGGCCTGCCTGACTGAGCAGGCCCCACAGTGTCTCTTGGGGCCCTGAAGGCAAGACACAGCCATCACACAGATGGAAAGGCCCTTTGCACTGAGCAGTCCTGACTAGCTAGGAGCCCCTGGACAGGAGCAGACTGCATCTTATGGAGATATTTATGGGTGGAGGCAGTCCTTGAGTCCTTGGAGTCCAGATCCACCAGCACTTCCCTGTCCAAGGCCGACGACATTGTCACTGTGTAGTAGAACCTTCCAGTGGCAAAGTGCCAGGTCTTCTGTCTAGCCACTGAATCTTGCCCTACCCTCCAAGGAAAAATACCAGTCCCAGGCCCACAGAGGACTACATGTAATGTGTGACCAGTGGGACCTAAGGGGGGAAAGGGGTAACAGTCACAGAGAAATGGAGAAAAGTGGGCCAGCATCATGGTGATGCCTCATGACCTGGAGAATAGCAGACTTGACCATTTATTTATTTCGGTGATTTTTTTTGGCTTGTTTTACTTTTCTATTTATTTATTTTTGATTTCTGAAGACAAAATTTCTCTGTAGCTTTGGAGCCTGGCCTGCAGCTCACTCTGTAGACTATGCCATCAACAGAGATCCACCTGCCTCTGCCTCCTGAGTGCTGGGATTAAAGGTGTGCCCCACAACTGCAGGCTATTTTATTTTATTTTATTTTGAGGAGAAAGGATGGAATCTTACTATGTTGACCAGGATAACCTAGAAGTCACTATGTGGACCAGGCTGGCCATGAACTCTCAGAGATCCATCTGCCTTTGCCTCCCCAATGCTGGACTTAAAGGTGTGCACCATTGTGCCCACCCCCAAGGATGGTTTGTTTTGAAATTTAAGGCAAATTGAAGCTCAGTATGAGTATGGATTTAGCACTAGAAAGGCCTTGGGTTCA